TATATATATATATATATATATATATATATACACATATATATATATATATATACACATATATATCAGGCAGAAAGTGGGACATTATATTAATTACCTTTTCATCTGCAGAGCACGTTGCTAGAAGACTCTCATCAAAAGGAGAAAAGTCCATATCAGTCACCAGATCTGATAGAGAGAAATGAACATTTTAGAAGTCAAAAATCAGATGTAGGTCAGTCACAGAATCAGAATCAGAATCAGTTTATTATTGCTATGTCAATGAACGAGGTTCACAAACTAGGAATTTGCTTCGACATAAGGTGCGAATAGTAATAAAGTAAAATAAAGTAAAAATAAAGTAAAAATGAAGTAAAAATGAGAACATTACATAAGACATAAGACCTGTGTACACCCACAAATAAAGTAAAATTAAAAACATAACATAAACATGTGTACACCCATACAATAGAAAACAATAAAAAAGCTTAGAAAACAGTACAGATGGGGTATTCAATTATAATACAGATGTAATGTGACCAAAGCAGAAATTATGAGGTAGCATTATGAGTGTTCAGGAGTCCAACAGCAGAGGGGAAGAAACTGTTCTTATGGCGGGAGGTTCTGGTCCGAATGGACCGAAGCCTCCTGCCTGAGGGGAGTGGTTCAAACAGTCCGTGTGCAGGGTGAGCTGTGATCCGACCTGCTCGCCTCACAGTCCTGGAGACGTACAGGTCGTGGAGGGATGGAAGGCTGCAGCCGATCACCTTCTCAGCTTCACAGCTGTCTGGTTTAACTATATTAGCCAGGAACCATCTGCAGTTCTCGCTCATTATCAGCAGACTAGAACAAAGTGCTCTAAATATCCTGATGCATGCTCAATAATCCAGGTAGAAAAATCTAAAAAAGTTAAATCTGGTCCTCTGGACATTCAAAAAAAAAAAAACAAAGCAAATCAACAAAAAAATGTAGAAACGTTTCGTCTCTCATCCGAGAGACTTCCTCAGTCTGAGGAGCTGTATTCAGCTCAGTCTCTTAAATAGCACCGTCTCAGGGTGGATCAACCAGTTTTGCTGCTGACAACCAATTTTTTTGTTGATTTGCTTTGTTTTGTTTTTTTTGAATGTCCAGAGGACCAGATTTAACTTTTTTAGAAAGTGCTCTAAAGTTCTAAACTTTAAGCTTTAACAACTCAGTTTGGTGCTTTTTTTTTTAAGCAAATTTCAGCTAACAGCACATCCTACTGGGCATGTTTAACATCTAAATTCCTTATTGTAAGCTGCTCATCAAATGGTTAGGGCATAACTTAACATTTCTATTCATCGCATTAAAAATGGCAATAAAACCTGAAGCTACACTAGTCAAACAGCCTCAAAACAGGTTTGAAAAAAAGGGTGAAGAAGACCAACCAGAATGGCAGGAAATCTGAGTGACTGTCCACTGGTCATTTGAGCCAGGTGTGATTGAAGTCAGGCCCAACAAACCTCCACCTGCAGACACATGGAATACTCTGAAGATTTTCATAAATCACACTTTCAAAATCTAACTGAGACCGGAGTGACTACAAAGTCTTGGGAAATCTCCACTTGAATTTTAAGAAATATGAACAAATTGATCAGACCGATTACCAAAGTCTGATCTGAATTAACTAAAGAGACTAAAAGCATAAACAACAAACGCATCTATTTACTACCCAAAGTTAAAATGACTGTTTAACCAGATTTTTACTGCCATACCAGCCTGATCGGTGTTGAAAGCCACCAGCTTGGAGCTTGCTTTGATGTGGCTCCCCTGGCAGGAAAAGGAGCCAGCGTGAACGTTGCTGATCCATTCCTGCATTTAAAGACAAGGAGAACATGAGCATAGAGAACGAGGACACAAAAAGTGAAGAATACATGGTAATAATGAAAGTTGTTTCAACAGTCATGACAAATAAAGTGAACTCTGTAATAAACAGGAAGGATCTGTTTGAGGGCGCACACACGTCAGTGCTTCGGAATAAGCAAAGAGCTGAGGAAGTGGCATTGCTCCCACTGAGAACTTTTAAACTTCTTACATAACATAAAAACGGCAAGTGCAGCACGAGCATGTGTGCAACACGCTCCGCTGAGCTGCTCCTTAGAAAACTAAAAGCAGCAGAACTGTGTGCTTTCAGACGGCATTTCAGAACTCAGACAGCTTTGCTCCAGACTAACGCAGTCACGCTTTGTTTTGTGCAGCTGTCCATTTCCAAACAGTCTTAACACAGAAGGGCATGCATATTTAAACAGGACTACATAGTCTACAGCTGTTTTGTCAAGAAAAAAAGCAAGGTTGTAGTAAATTTGTAAAAATCCTAAACATTTTTCATCTTATTGTATTTATATTTTTAAAGAATCTGGGACAAAATGCAGATGCAGAGCATTAAAATAAAAATAAACGACCTTTCCAAACTAAATATGGGAGCAGTCAGGTGCTCAGCAAGTGTGAGCATCTCTCCAGATGTTTAATAGTTTGCTGGTTTGTTGCAAAAAATGTAAAAAGTTAAATAAAAACTTACAATTATGGTGAGAAAGGATTGACAAAAGAAATGTTAATTTTTGAACAAATAAACTAAACTAATAAAACTAAAACAGGCAGCATGACTGAGTGTTGGTTTGTAAAGTTGCATCTGAACAAACCAAAAAAAAAAAAAAAAAATCCTGGAACAAAGTCAGTTTTGCAGATGAGGTCAAAGTGGAGATGTTTGATTATGTGCAACAACATATTTTGCAAACAAAAAACACAGCACAAGAGCACAAAGTCTTCACATCAGCTGTGAAGCACGATGGTGGAGGATTAATGATGTGGGCTTGTTTTGCAGCCACAGGACTTGGCCACCTTAAAATAATTGATTCAATCACAAGCAACTATTTTTGAGTCAAACATGACTCTAAAAGCTGAAGCTGGGGGCACATTGGGTAAAATAACACAATAATGGCACACAGATCTACTAAACCTATTACTTCAGATTTTGATTGAATTATAAATCACTATCGGTTATTCAAACACTGATTTTGACTGCATTTTTGTTACATAAAAATGTCATGGTGTAATAAATTATCCTTTACTGCTCATCTGAGGTTGCATTTATTTTTTATAGAACATTGCACAAACCAGTATTTTTATTATGTCCTGATACAAACAAAAACAGCTCTGTATCTGTCAAATGGAAGCTAAATCTATTAATTTTGATGCAGCTTCCTTAAATATTCAATCAGGCATTCCAGGATTATCCGAGAACAACAATGCTCTGCCGTCTTTGCTTTACTTTCGTGTCTCTCCATTCGCTTTTGCCTACCTCAACACTCACTGAATCCCTTGTTCTATTTCCACTCGTGCACAGTGTTTGAAAAGATGGCACATGACTGCAGCAGTGTGCCCACATGAAGTGCTAGTTTAACATTGACAGGAGCAAAGCACCACCTGCTGTCTGTGCAGAGACTGGAGAGATTCCTAGACCATCCACACACTGTCTCCGAGCATGCCAGGAATTTAACTGTTTCAGTGAAAACAGGAGTTATATCATAAATAGGACATGCAGGCAATTGAACTTGGAACTAATAGCTTTAAAGAAAGGTCTGGTCCAGACATGTTGACTCTTGAAATCCATGGCAACAATCAGAAAATCCATCCCAGCAATATTACTAATGACATCTACCATTCTAAATGCCAAGCCTTTCCTTAGATAGATGCAGAAAATTCCTGCAAACCCTAGTCAATCTCAAATTAAACCACAAGCAACGACAAAAATCAAACAATAGTTATATTACTGTAATAGTGGGTGTCAATGCAACACCTAATCGGGTCCTAGTAACCACCTGGCAGGTCTTTTTTCCCCCTAAATGGCAACGATATCACGAGAATTCATGTTTTTGTCCCGTCTCTTTTATTTAGGTTTCCAGATGCAGGAAGTTCAACATCCCTTGCAAGCAGCAGACACAGACAGGCGGTTCCCAAAGTAGCTTTGTGCTACTTATAGCTAAAATGAGCTTTTTTTGGACCCAGAAACTTGTACTCTACTTACATCTTTCTTGGCGATTTTCGGAGTGGTGTTTTTGAATTTGGAGGTCTTAAAACGATTCATGTTCCCCTCTCAAATTGACTTTCGTGCCTTCCGGGTGTCTGTTGAGCTGGTTGGTAGTACTGCACTGTGTTCCCACTGCAGCTGACAGCTTTAGATTTTTCCGCGCGGTGTTCGTTCGCTTTACGCAACCGAGTAACCCAATTGGGCGGAAACTATATTGTCCTGTACTATACTTCATCACGTGCAACCCCGGATAATAAATCATTCGCATTACTTGTCAGCCGAGCCGGTATTTGAATATTATTTTGTTTGTTTTAGTTTTAATTTCATGATATGTGGAGTATAAAAATAATTAAACACAAGAAATAGACTTAAATAAAAAATAAAAATCTTTCAAATTATTTTATGATGTAAAATGACGCCCACTCTGTTCCATGCATGCGCAGTGTGTCCTAACCCGGTGGAATCGTAGGAATGATGGCGTCCGTGGTTGTCCGCTGCTCCTCACGTTGGATTACAGTCGTGGTGTCTTCTGGACCTCGAAGGGCTGCCGGTTCATTTCTGTCTTCTGGCCATGTCGGGGTCTGCCGTTTTTCTACAATCGGAGTGGGAAAACTATGGTATGGAGGGAGCCTGGTGTGCGGCGGAGAAGGGAAAGCGTTGACATTGAGAGGGTTGTCAGGTGAGTGGTGTATCAGCCAGGCTATGCTAAGCTAGGCTAGGCTAGGCTAGGCTACATTTGCTGCTTTTCCTTTACTCAAATGACGCAGAAAGTGAGCGAATATCGTCTAAGAGAGTTGGGACTACAAAACAAGTTTGTAGGCTTTTACTTGAGTAAAGTTAAGGAAAGTTGTCAAAATGTTATGAATTCGGTTTTTAGCAATTTTGTAATCAAATTTGACGTTTGAAAGTGGTGCTGTAGTTTGGCTTTTTGCACGTGTTTATTGATTTCATAATAGTAAGTATTCAGGGTTTAGTCATGATCTCTAAAAATAATAAATTTTATAAAACAGTTTTCATAATATATACATGAATTAAGTTGCTGTGTTACAGCTATATGTTTTCTACATCTAAATAATGCGTTATTATTAAGCAATTATTTGTAAATAGGGGCCATTTATTGCGAATCGTCCTAACTGATTACAGTACTGTAACAAGTTTTATTTCTTTATATTTTGTTTCCAAGGCTTTCCTTGATTTCTTATTAATTTTGAAACAAAGACACAAACAAGTTAAATCCACACAAACTTAGTAAAAAAAAAAAAAGCAGCCAAGTTCCAATGAAAGATTTTTTAAAAGACCTCCAGAAAGCATTAAAAAACTATTTAAAGACAGAACCATTGCTTCAAAGTATAATGAAAAAATTTAGGGATAACCTGAGATGTGTACTCAGTACAGTACCTTTTCTTTTTTAAATGACACATTCTGACACTAACATTTTACAGATTTCTTTGTGTGTGTTTTATATCACAGAGGAAAAGCAGACTTTGACCTTTGGTGTTAAAACTAATGACAGTAATATTAAAGTAATATACCTTTACCTGACAAAACTCCAGACAATGAAACATCTGTTAAATGCAGCATTATGGCACTAATAATTACTACTTACTACTACTTCTTCTTACCTTGTTACTTGTTTGCTGGACACCTTTCAGGCCTCAAATCACTCCATGCATTCTGCACATCTTTCCACACAAGTGCATCATCCAACAGCAAGCAGGACTTCTACCACATTCTTGGGGTACCTCGCACAGCAACCCAGAAAGAGATCAAGAAAGCTTATTATCAGGTCTGTTCCTGCCTGACAGACATTTAGCACCAGTTTTAGCTGAACTTGCTTCTCAGTAGTTGACAGTTTTTTCATTTTCCCGTAGATGGCCAAAAAGTACCATCCTGACACCAACAAAGATGACCCACAAGCTAAGGAAAAATTTGCTCAGCTGGCTGAAGCTTATGAGGTTTGACTTGTTTTTGTTAAAGCTTCCTTGCACACAAATTGTGTATTTTTTATTTATATAAGTTTTGCATTTTGGTCGCTGCAGGTTCTTGGTGATGAATCGAAGAGAAAGCAGTATGACACATATGGCTCAGCAGGCTTCGGTGCTGGTCATGCAGAAGGAGGGCAGCACTACTGGGGTAGCCATACCAGCCATGTGGATCCAGAGGAGCTTTTCCGCAAAATCTTTGGAGAATTTTCAGGAGGGCGCGGCTTTGGAGATTACAACACAATATTTGATCAGCCACATGAAGTTAGTAAACTGTCTTGAATGTTAAAGTAAAGCCAAGCAACATCTTTTTTTTTTTTTTAACTCAGAGCTCAGCTGGGTTTTTTTTTTTGTTTTTGTTTTTTTTACACATATCCTGAGTGATTATTCTCTGGCTGCTTCTGTGTTTTGTGCAGTACATGATGGAGCTGACATTCACTCAAGCAGCAAAGGGAGTCAACAAAGAGATTTCGCTAAACATAGATTCACCGTGCCAACGCTGCGATGGTAAAGGACATGAGCCAGGCACTAAGGTCCAGCACTGCAACCACTGCAATGGCTCTGGCATGGTAAGAGCTCCAACATGTTGTATGTTTTCAAAGTGTATTTGTGTATTTCTAAATATGTTTTTCTACCTATAAGGAAACAATAAATACGGGCCCGTTTGTGATGCGCTCCACGTGTCGCCGCTGCGGTGGGAAAGGTACAGTCATCTCTACCCCCTGTCAGTCTTGCCGAGGTACTGGACAAACCAAGCAGAAGAAGACTGTGATGGTTCCTGTGCCTGCAGGTCAGTCAAACTACCTGTTCAGCAAAGTATTTTTGTTAACTGTAAATATTTAAATATGTTTTCCTTTTTAATATTGTGCAACATGAAGTTTACTAATATTGCTACAAGCTGGAAGTTTTGTATTGTAGGACCTTATACTTATGAAGTACACAGTTTTTAGGTATAGATGTACTAATGGTTCAGATTCTGAAATAATTACTTCTTGTTTATATTCTCTGCAATATTTTATAAAATCCCAACCACTGCAACTGTAGATTTAAGTTAAAGTAATTAAATTGCTTATTATTTCTGGAGTTTGTAAGCATGTAAGACTCACTTGTTACCTCTTCACTTATTCGTTATTGTGCATGTTTTGATTTTGTTTCCTTTATTGCTTTATAATCGTACATTTTAACCAAAGTCCGTAAAAGAGTTTTTCAAACTACAGACATTCTGTAGTAAGATGAGCCATGGGGCTAGATTTTATACACAAATGTAAGCTCTTCATCAACCATTTGTTGGCTTTAATAAAACTAGTTTTAACTTTTCAAGGATTTAATGTAACCTTACAAGGTTTGTTAGATTTACTGTTTTTTATTTTCTCGAATAAAGAGATGCCTCAGCCTTGTAAATCGCAAAAGTCGCATTAATTTGTTTTTTGGCAGGAATCGTATTGTACGTGTGTGCTGATGCCAGTCTAGGCAATAAATTCACACATTCAATGTATAAAAGTTTTAAACTATTGTTTGTCTTTTAGGAGTGGAGGATGGTCAGACCGTCAGAATGCCTGTTGGAAAGAAGGAGATCTTCATCACATTTCGGGTTTGTGTCCACTGCAAATCTGACAAAGTCTTGGCAGATATAAATAATCTTGTGTGCATTATTTATTTTCAACATTAAACTGTGACAAGTGTCACTGATGTATTGACTAACACGGTATATGGTGCATTTCTTTCTGAAATTGTAACTTGTCTGTGCCGTTTGTCGTTGTCCAGGTCCAAAAGAGCTCTGTGTTCAGGAGGGACGGTGCAGACGTTCACTCTGATCTTTATGTCTCTGTGGCTCAAGCCATTCTGGGTGGTTCAGCCAGAACACAGGGACTTTATGAAACACTCAATTTGTCAGTAAGTTAAGATGCAGGCACTTCAGTCACTCGTGTTCTAGGAGAGGATTCCAGTGATATACAGGTTATGAATAAACTTTTTTTTTTTTAGATTCCTGCAGGAATTCAGATGGATCAGAGGATCCGGTTGGCAGGAAAAGGAATTGCTCACGTCGGTGGCTATGGCTTTGGTGATCACTATGTCCACATAAAAGTAAAAATACCAAAGTAAGAATCCAAAACTATTTATTTAAAGACAATCTATTACCAGACAGAAAACTTTATAAATTAAATACATTAATGTGCCATGATTTTATCCAGGTGAGGATTTAAGCTTTTTTGCATAATGAAACTAAAAATAAACTGTTCTTTTTTTTATTTTTATGCAGGGTTTTGACAGACAGACAGAAAACTCTTATAATGAGTTTTGCTGAGGATGAGACGAGCGTGGAGGGAACAGTGAACGGTGTCACTAACACCAGCACAGGTATTTAAAATATAATGTGTTGTCCCCCCATAGCTACTCAAAGCATCTTGTTATTATCTCTAATCTTCTGAACGTGGGAATGTGAGGTTCTGATGTTCAGTAGATCGATGTAAAGTATCCTTGAACTGAAGTGAATGAAGTTTTCTTTCAAGGAATGTTGTTTTTAGATGAAGTGCTAATGTCTGATCAATTGGGGGCAGTATTGGTATGCAGTTTGAAGCAAAGAAAAGCAGGAAACCTCTCCAAATTATTCTTTTCTAACATCCATTAACCGCAGAGAATTATTTTTCCCCAATTGTTGGTTTAACTTCCCTGTTTGAAAACTTATGAAGCTCTATGGCACCACTCTTCAACTCATCTGTTTTGTAAATTACATACCAGCCAATTGGACATTTTCTCTTTATTTTCATAATCTTCATCAGTTTAGTAGTTCTTAGTTGTTTTTGTTTCCTTTTAGGTAAAAGATCTTTCTCAAACTGAGGCCTCCTCAAAACGTCAAGGACAGCACCATCGTAGAGACAGAGGAATGAGTAACATTCATTATTGGTCAGTCCTGGATGGTTCTTCTGAATGGACTGTTACAGACCTTTCGATCAAACCTTGTTTCAAAGAATTTCCTGCTCTGCCTCTCTCTCAAAGTGGATCTACAGATGTCAGTTTTATCAAATGTACATGGAGGCCAGTGTGACAGCGAAGACTTGAAACGCACTTGGTGTAAGATGGATCCGTTTGTGGCCTCAGCATAAAGAAAGGTTATAGCAGCATTTATAAATGAGAAATTATTGTACTGAATGAGACTACAGATATAAATTAAAAATTATTTAGGATTAAATCCTGTTAAGTCTGTCCCATATGTGGCTGTCGTATTCAGGCGAAAATGTTTCTTGTAAATTCTGTCCCTTGTGGTGATATAAGTTAAATATTGACAGACTACATGAGAACGCTTGGTCTCCACTCAATTATGGAGGATGAAGGTGTAGATCAGGCTGAAATGTGACCACTGACTTTACAATAAATTCCCTGTTTAATTATTTTTAATCACATTTGTACATCAACTGTTGTGAACGTTCATCCATGTATCATAGAAGCAATATAGCATACAGCTCTAATAAAGTTATGGCCTGGAGAACAAGCTGTTCTGCCATTTGCAGAAGCGACACACGTACTCAAGTTTTATTTGTTTTTTTTATTGCTTTTGGAACAACAGACACAATATTCTGTATCATTTTATTAAATTTTTATTTTATTTTGATATTTACACGATGGAACACTACTGAATTTAGCATTGCTGCTGTCAAGTCAAAAATTAAATGCAGTTTTTAATACTATTTTACTGAAAACATGTATTTTATAGTCATAGTTTATTTCCTAACAAAAGACGCATGTGTTCAAAAAAATCTTTATTATGATCCTAAAATGTACAAATGAGTCAGCTGTTGGGGCGTGAAGAGAAAAACTTTTATTACTAGCAACACAAAACCAATTAAAAATTTTCAATACAGTAAAAATACACTAGTTGTTCAAAAACAACGCTTCAATTCAATAAGCAAAATAATAGCGTGGCGCAAAAGAAACTGTTAGAGAACTCTTAAGTCACCACAAATTATTCTAATATTTTTATTCATGACCCAGCAACCTGCAATCCTGGAAAACAACCATTCACGCATACTTCACACAAAACATGGAACTACGAGAGGATCTCAGGCAGTTCCTGTTTTATTCCATCGTGCGCACTTCAACCAGTTCAACCTGAGAAACTCAAATACAAAAATACACCAATGCCTAAAGCGGAAAATGCCAATATCAATTTGTGAGTTCATGCATTGTGCAAATGTATCAGGCAGAAAAACATTTTCGGTTTGTGTTTATAAAATGCTAAAGAAAAATTAAAGATGCCATAAATTTATCTAGGCAAATAAAATACTTTAACCTTAAGTGCAACTGCACTGTAACCAGCAGGCCTCAGTAAATGACCAACTTTATCTAAAGTGGAAACTAAAGTGTCTTTCTTGCACAGTACGGGTGATGTTTTATGATTTACCAAAAAAGAGAAATCAGAAATGAGCTAAACTGCAAAGGACCAGTACACTAGTGGCTTATTAAAAAATAATAAACTACAAAATGTCCACCCATAGCTTGCATTAGCCAGTAACCGTTTTTACAAGGACTCCTGTGGTAAGTAAAAGGACAAACTGTACAATTCAATCTTTTTTTTTTTTTTTTTTATATATAGCTGAGCTATTCCATAATTCCTAACCTGAGGAACAGTAAAGGTTAACATGCACTAGAAGATTTTTAACCAATTCATTGTCAGAAACGGTTGTTTCATTCATTCACTGTAAAAAGAAATATTTGGTTTGCATCAATGTCTCGGTACACACATCTACAGTAACTTTCTTGAATATATGTGTGGCTTGATATGAATTATGAAACTTTCATGTATTTAAATAAATAAAAAATAGAGTACACATTTCTATACAAATCCTGGTTGTCAATGTAGTAAATGTGGGCATAGCAGCCTGAACAACAAAAACCTTGTGTGCACAATTTATTTTTGTTTTGCCATTAATTCATCTAATGTACCACAAAAATGTCAATCCAATCTAAACCTGCCACAACCCTTGAGTAATTTCACATTAACACCCCCCCCCACACACACACACACACACACACACAGCAACAGTGTACTAGGTAGAATTAATAGTTATTTGCAGCTGTTTAACAGCCTAATTCCAGTGGGATTTGGAATAATGTCTGATGAAGGTCGTTTTAAAGCAGAAACTCCACAGCTGGCATTTCTTTTGAGTGGAGGATGAGAGGACATTTAAACGGAGGAGAAATGTTGCTGAAAACAACGAAAAATGGGACTAAAACTAACTAAAGCCCCTGTTCTATAGTAATTCTGTAAAAGGAACAGGATTGGTTTTATATTGCCTGGTAAGGGCTTTACAACACCCTTTGACAAACATGATACTTCTTCAAGTGCAATTTTGGCTTACAGTACATTAAAAAAATAGTTTTTCTTCCTGTGTATTAAGGATTGCAACTGAATACTGTATTATAAAGAATATCGATTTTCCCCATTTTCACTTAAAAATTAAAACTTCATTATTTACTGAAAGGGTCAACTGGCACTATGGTTAATTACACCTCAAAAACAGAATGGAAGGATATTGTGTTGGAGGTAGAGAAATGGAAAAAAAAAAACTATAAAGGTGGTGCTTTATGAAGAGAGTAGGCATCCTAAAGGTCTACAGATCATATTTAAATTCGTAAGCTAAAAACACAACAACGTAACAAAACGCACCGGTCTGGTTTGAACGTTCGAGTAAAATGGTCAGTTCATGGAAACCCAACAATTTTCAGTCAGGTCATCTGGACAGATGACCTGACTGAAAATTGTTGGATTGTATACCTGGATTATTGAGCATGGACTTTGTTAGTTCATGGAAATGTTTCCAGTCGTCTTTCCAAGTCATTTTTTTTAGACTAACAGACAGAGCTGGATCACATCAGATACCAGGCAACCAGTCCAGCGAGGGCAGCAAACCAGGTGGCAAACAGGACCTGTCCTGTCGGGTGTCTGAGAGCAGCCATGGCCAGCTGGCAGAAGTACGCTGTTCCACCTGATGCCGCTACGATCCAGAAGAGACAAGTTTAGAGAACAAGGAAAGAGCCAGCATTTAAGTTTCAAAACAGAACAGTGTTTACCCATTTTAGCTGCATAGTAGGGACATTTGCTGATGTCGCCACCCAGTTCTCCATGAGCGGACATGCCAGCATCTAAAACATCCTCCTGGATTGTTTTGCCGATCTCCTCTAACTCCTCAAACACCTGCCAGAAGAAACATTAAGTACTGTAGATATTCTTACACTTGTATTTTCTCCTAACCCTCTGTGGGTTAACACAAGCGGGGAGGGATATTGTGAAACATTCAGTGACGATACAAAAAAAGGCATGACAAACTCAGAAAAGTGCAAAAGGTTTTAAATGTAAAATACTAAAGAGAAGAATCCTGCCTTCAGTAATAAACAAAACCTCCACTCGAAAAGTTGTAGCTGATCCAGACATAAAGAAGCATATACCGTAATAAAATCACCAATTAAATCATCTGTCTGGCTCTCACCTCCATGTTGAATTGAAAGGCTTTAACAGCTTCATCCACCAGCCTCCTCTTTGTCTCCATGTCCAGGTCCAGCTCATTCATCCGACTCCGGTACAGCTGCTTGAATGCTTTGGCACTATGGATTCCATCAAACTTGTAGAACTCCACACCCTCTCCTGTAGGTGGCAGCTTCAGAGCTCTCTGAGCCACCTTTTTCAGCACCTGACCCCCTGACAGGTCACCCATATAACGGGTGTAGGCGTGGGCCACCAGGAGCACCGGGTCCTCCTGGCCCACCTGATGGATACGGTCCATATAGAGCTGGGTGGCTTGAGAGCAGCTGATATGGCTCTTCCATTCAGGACCATAAAAGTACTCGAGGTCACAAGCCAGGGCTTCATGACGGTGCAGCTCTGCAGGAAAATACAGAGGGGCAAAGTGCGGGTGGTCCTTGTTCCTTTCGATCTCTTCCTCCATGGCAGTGTATGTGTAGTAAAGCGCCACAGCACCAAGCTGGAGAAATAAAAGTTAGTGTAATATTTTTTTATTTACAGCACTTTTTTAAAAGTACATCTGGAAAAGTTGTTCTTATCAGTCGTTTGCAGTCTGATCCCAACAAACATTTTACTGTCTCAATCTAGTCCCCCCCCAAATGACCTCTTCTCCAGTTATGAACTCATTAAATTTATTTACAAATCGTATTTGTCTGTCAAAGGGACTTTGTTTTAAGTGTATATGTAGCTTAGGTGGGCAGCTGTAAGCAGTCTTATCTGCAGCAGATGAGGGTGAAGGTGCACTCAGTTTGGAGAATAATCAGATGTCACGCTAACCAATGACCAAACAAAAAACTAAAACTATGGTCTTCTGTGGCCCTGGTCCGAGTCAACTTGGCTCATCTATCAAGAACCATTTACAATTCTCCTAACAGATAGTGTTCTTGTTTGCTGCAAGTGTAATAAAATCTACCAACTTCTTTAACATAAAAGTTTAATAATGAAGTTATTTCCTGCAGTCTGACCTTGAAAAGCTCCTTTCGGATACGTCCCTTCAAGAAATCTTTCACAAACTGCGTGTTTTCAGCCTTTTCATGAACCTCCTTGGTCCCCGCTGCAAGCATCTCAGACAAGTCCTCCGGACTAGGAATGAAAACAAGTATTAAAAGTGGGAAATTTACTGTGTAACTTGCAAAACCACTGAAATGTTATTAACTTGTGCTCCTATTTTAGTATAAAATGCAACAGTAACATTTACCATAAAGAGTTTTCTTTTTCCTCATATCCAGGCCCCGCACCACTGGATACGTTTGTCTCCATCTTCTCTGAAGACATTTGTGGTGAATTTTATTTGATTTTATTTTTCCTGAATAAAGCCTGGAATTAAAACAAATCATTAAAGTAACAATAAAGTGACATTTTAACCATATATAACTTATTTAAGTGTCATCACACTTCATAAATGATATCAAACCTTTAAAAGAAATGGTGAATACTTTAGAAAACACATTCACGTTGATAATTTCTTGCATAGTCTTGCCAAAACCTAAAAAACTACATTTATTTTACAATGAGATTTCAAAAATGGCATATTAATAAAACAAAGTCTCAATGATCAGTGACTATTATGTCATGCCTCACACAAAGAAAGAATAGTACAGAGCAGAAGATAGCCTAGTCAATAAATAACTATGATTACAACAATCAGTCCACAAGTTTTAAACTGTGTCTGCCAACAATCTTGCAGCATATTCAAACAATCAGCATGAGTAATTTCAAATATTAGCCTTTAGTTCGAACTTTAACAGCTCAAAGTACCAGACAGATAAATGCTGTACATAAGGAGGCAGCAGAAACCACTACTCCTCATTGTTTTCACCGAGATAATCAAATACTCCATCCACCAGCTGATTCAGCTGCCTTAAGCCTTTAAGCTAAGACCACACGACTGTGTTTGACTAAAAGGTCATTATGGTTAGTTTGGCTGAGTAATAAAAGCGCTTTTAAAAATGTCCAAACAGCCAAATAAAATACAGTTTATAGAACAAAGGCCTTCTGGTGTTTACCAGAAGTCCCAGAAATAACTAGCAGATACAAAGACTTGATCCTCTAAAGCTGACTTTTAGTTATTCTGGCTAAAAAATAAACAAATAAAATGTGAAGACGATTTTCTCGAAAGCGACGGATACCAGTAATGTCTTGTGAACTTGGTAGGAGCATCCTTTTGACAACCACAGCTAACTTTTTATGTAAGCTAAAAGCTAGCCTACGCAGCTTGCATCACGCTAACAAACTCGTTAAAATTTTCACATAATGCTGGATTGTCACGATTAGATCGTCATATAATTAGCTCAAATTGTCTAATATACAGTAACAATATGATAGTTTGTTAAGGTTAACAAACCTTTCCTGCCGGTACAGTGATGGGCGATTTTTTAAAACTCTAACCACCAGGATGCGACAGTCTGCCGGAATAAAGTATACTCTAATATTTGTTTGTACCCGGTCCTGACAGTCAGACACCACTTAACCGGAAGTGTAAACGTAATTTTGTAGTTTTTATTAAAGTGCAGGTTTTACCATAGATATAAACATATCATTATATGATATCTATGGGTTTTACTGCCACCAATTTCCTTAAAATGTTTAAAATAAAGTTGTGAAATAAAGGCACACATTAGGGTTATAATACAATTATATATATATATATATATATATATATATATATATATATATATATATATATATATATATATATATCAACATTAAATAACGTTAAATCGAAAAAATATTGCTTATATTTCAATTAATTTGTATCAAACATATGTTTGTACCTATCCTGATTCATTGAGCACAAGTGAAAGGAGTAAAAAGCAAAGGATGTTCAAAAAAATAAGAAACTATTTTTTTTTAAATGCATCCATGGAGCAATTTCTGAAGTAAAATCCATTTTTGTGTTTTACACGTCACTCAAATATTTCCCTTAAAGAAACTTGTCCAGATTACATGATTTAACCTTTTTTGTTATACAACTGGTTATTAAATAAGACAAAAATTCAACGATAAAATCAGAACGGAGTTATTGGATCTGAAACTTATAAATCAACTTTAATGAAGTGCCCAACTTTTTATTGCATTGATAAACTAAAATAGGTTTGTCTATCGGATGGCACAGTGGCGCAGTTGGTAGAGCTGTTGTCTCTCAGAGAGGTCACCGGATCGAATCCCGGACAGGGACCCTTCTGGGTGGAGTTTTCATGTTCTCTCCATGCATGTGTGGATTTTCTCCAGGTACTCCTGTTTCCTCCCATAGACCAAAAACATGCATGTTAGGTTGACTGGTAATTGTCCCTAGCTGTGAGTGAGAGAGTGAATGGTTGTTTGTCTCGTTTGACTCTATGTCTCGTTTGACCCTATGAGATGGACTTGTGACCTGTCCAGGGTGTCCCTCACCTCTCACACAGTGACTGTTGGATATGGGCTCCAGTTCTGTGACTGAAAAAAAGAAGAAGTGGTAATGATGGATGGATTTTTGTCTTATCTCTGAAACAACATTGTATTACTTTAACATTTACAGTTCGATGTCATCTAAAGCTTTTCTAATTGTTTCTGTGCATACTTGATTAATGCCTGCTGTTTCAAGGTCAAGGTACTTTATTGTCATTCGCATCACATGTGGTACATGAGGTGAAACGAAATTCTGTACCCAGGGTCCCAGTTACATCCAACAATAGCAAAAAATATAAAATGTAAAAAGAAACAGTAAAGAAGATATAAACTGAAAAATATGTTAAACGAACACCCAACAGTACACTAAAAGATCTAAGATACGCTAAACACTAATAGGGCAAAACAATACACCGAACAGCAGCAGCATGAACATGAGTCTTTGTGGATGGATGAGTATGAATGAATGAATTCAGCAGCATGAGATCAACAGCATGGATAATCAGCAGCACATAATCAAAGTTATGTTGAGTTCTAAACTACTGGAGAAAATAGTCGAGTCCCAGTTGAAGTGCTTCCTGGAGGATCACGCCATCTTAGAGCTTTTCAAATCTGGCTTTAAACCTCTCCACAGCACTGAAACTGCCCTGCTGAAGGTCTTTAACGACATCTTCAGATTCACAGATACCAGTGATTCTGTGCTGCTTGTCCTGTTGGACCTCACAGCCGCCTTTGACACCATCGACCATGAGATCCTCATTGCTAGGTTGGAGCAGTGGGTGGGCGTCACAGGATCAGCCCTCAGTTGGTTCAGATCTTACCTCACTGACAGATCCTTTTGTGTCTCCATCAAGTATTTTAGTTCCGCAGAGGCAGAGCTTAAATGGGGGATTCCGCAGGGGTCCATACTGGGTCCCCTTCTATTCTCTTTATACCTGCTGCCGCTTGGTGCTATTTTCCAGAAACACAACATGCCCTTCCACTTCTATGCCAATGACTGTCAAATTTACTTCCCCCTAAGACACAATGGTACATGCTCTATTCAACCGCTGCTCAACTGCCTGGCTGACATCAGGGACTGGATGGCTTTAAATTTCTTAAGTTTCAATGAAAAGAAGTCTGAAGTCATGTTGTTCCCTCCCAACGACACGATCACAAACCACTGCATCGACCTTTCCACTCTAACCCTGTCAGAAAAACAAAGAGTCACTAATCTGGGCGTGATAATGGACCCTTCCCTGAAACTTAACAATCATGTAAACATGATTGTGAAATCATGCTTCTTGCAACTGAGGCGGCTGTCTAAACTGAAGCCCATATTGTCCAAAAATAACCTGGAGACAGTAATTTGGGGAGTGGTGGCACAGAGGTTAGAGAGGTGGGCTTGTGATCCAAAAATCACCGGTTCACGCCCCGGCCCCGACAACATCAAAAATTGTGTGTGGGGTAGGTGAAACACCCACACTTGCCCCCACCCGCATTCGCCCCACTCTGGGACCATGAGCAAGGCCCTTAACCCCACCATGTGCTCCCTAAACAGGTCTCTCTTGAAAATGAGTTATCGTGGCTCAATGAGACTAACCTGGATAAATAAAGGCTAAATGAAAAAAAATACATGCATTCATTACATCTAGGCTTGATTACTGCAATTCGCTCCTGTTTGGTATCAGTCAGACCTCCATTGCACGACTACAACTGATCCAGAATGCAGCAGCCCGATTTTTAACCAGTACAGGAAAAACAGAGCACATTACACCAGTTTTGGCCTCACTGCACTGGTTACCGGTTCACTTTCGAATCCAGTTCAAAATACTCATGTATGTCTACAAATCACCGAACAGTGTCGCCCCCCCCCATCTCTCTGATTTGCTACAACCGTATGTCCCACCACGCTCCCTGAGGTCAGCGGACCAGTTGCTCCTCACAGTTCCAGGAACTCGTCTTAAGCACAGAGGTGACAGGGCCTTCTCTGTAGCAGGACCAAGACTCTGGAACGAGTTACCTCTGCTTGTCAGACAAGCCCCCTCCCTCTCACTTTTCAAGTCCCATTTAAAAACTCACTACTATTCAATAGCTTTCAACACAAGATGATCTGTGTTTTGATCCTGTATGCTCCACACTGGTTTGTCGTCATTATCTGCATCGTTTTTTGTCTATATTCTGATTTACCTCATTTTGTATTTTGCTTTGTGTGTTACCTGTTGTCTTGTCTGTACAGCACTTTGGTTGGCCTTGTTGCTGTTTTAAGTGCTTTATAAATAAAGTGGTATGGTATGGTAAGTGGTAAAGTTGTATTACAGTGTTTTTTTTTTTTTTTTTTTACAGAGATTATCTTGGTTAGAGATTCATAAGTCTAACAGCTTCAGGGTAGAAGCTGTTCCTCAGTCTAGCAGTTCTACACTTAACGCTCCTCAACATACTGCCTGAGGGGAGTGGGGCAAAAAGTGTGTGTGCTGGGTGAGTGGGGTCCTTCATGATGCAGATAGCCCTCTTAATACATCTGGAGGTGTAGATGTCTGTGATGGTGGAGAGGCTGACTCCAACAGTCTTCTGTGCAGCCTTCACCACTCTCTGCAAAGTTTTTCTTTCTGCAGTTGTTCAGCTTCCATGCCACACGTTGATGCTGGAGCACAGGATGCATATGTTCATGACCTATGTACAACATAATTTTTGAACTGATTTGTATATTAGGGTGCTTGGAATACATTTGAAAGCTGACTGTATGTCCTAAGCATGCATATGTGTGTATACGTGCATGTATGTGTGTGTATGAGATATTGAGAGTGCGTGTATGCATATGTGCTTGTGTGATTGTCAGTGCCTGATAGCAGTCTGGTGGCCGGCTGTAGCGTCAGATGCTTTATTCACAGGGCAATGAGGAGGTTGGCCTTGGCTCCTTCCTCACTTTGCAACTTTGGCTGGCAGGGTGAAAGATGACAAGATGATTCACTTCCCTCAAATGAGACCAGCAACCTGTTACCCTTACATAGAAAATTATTTGGGAAGTACATTTTGTGCAACTAATGCATCTTAGGAAAAAGGAGAAAACTTTTTGGATTCATAATAAACCTCTCTTCGATAGCCTCCGTTTCCTGACAGTTAAACTGGATAACGTGAAAGTGTGAGTGGAACTGTGCCACACTGGTTAGGTTTACTGTGTTTGATTAGTTCCCTGAAAACATGTAAAGTGATATTGCCAGTGCATTTTGTTTCTAGATGGATTCTTGCTATTGCTAGTTTTTGTTATTATGTGGTGATGTTCAAGCAAACATCATTGCCTTGTGAGCAATTCAATAAGTTAAATGTGTATTTTCAAAATTTATGTAATGAAATCAATTTTTAAAAAGCGTATCTCTTTTTGGATGATTGTTAATGAGGTGAAAGGGGTGTTTTTGTAAAGCTGGTTTTATCTACTCCATTTCGGTTTCACTCTGTTTTTCCTCCTCTTGTTATCTTGCACGTATAAAGGTTCAATCTGTTGTCAACACAACAGCACTGTTTTGGCTTGGTTCTGATATTATCTTAGAAGAAACTCGTGATTGGGAGGGTTGTCATTCTCCCCTGCACCTTCACTGGCCTGGTATGGTCTCTTTTGTACTAATTGTATTGACTGGCTGTGCCTGTGAGGTTATAGATAAAAGGCCTCTGTCAGAATTGCAAGTGGCTAGATCATTGCTTGGGGTTTTGTTGTTATCCTCAAATTATTACTCTTTTTTTTATTGTTTACATATTAACAACAAGTGACAGCAAGCAGGTTACCTTAATGTCTGTTTCTTACTAGATGCCAAATCAGTTGACATTAGTTTCTTGACCAGAACCATTTATCCTAGTTCTAGACTTCTCCTGTGAACTTCTCCTGTAGATTTCTCCTTTGGGGGAGTGGTGGCGCAGAGGTTAGAGAAGATAGGCCTGTGATTGGAAAGTTTCAGGTTCAACTCCGGATACCGTCAACATCAAATTATGGGTGGAAAAGGTGAAACACTCACACATGCCTCCTCCCTCATTTGCCCCACTCTGAGCCCCTGAGCAAGGCCCTTAACCCCCCACCATTTGCTCCCAAAAACAGGTCTCTCTTGAAAATAAGTTCTCGTGACTCAGTGAGACTACCTTTAAATGAAAAAAAAAAAGACTTCTCCTGTATTATAAGAACCATTGACCACTGTAGGAAATTTTATAAATGCCATGGGCCTCAGTTGGAAAATGGGTGTCCTGCCCTCTCTGAAATGGAAGTGAGGTGTTGCCTTAAGTGGAGGACTTTAAGTATGTCAGGGTTTTGTTCATGAGGGAGGGATTAATGCAGAGTGTGATCGACAGACAGATTGGTGTAGCTTCCACAGTATAGCAAACAATATGCTGGTCTATTGTGGTGAGATTGGAGCTGAGCTGCAACGTAAAGCTCTTTATTTACTGATCGGTCTACATTCCTACCCTCACCTATTGTCATAAACTTTGGATAGTGACTGAAAGAATGAGATGTCGAAACTAGAAAGTTCCTGGAGAACCTTTGGTGAGAATTGCAATTCAATTCAATTCAAAAATAATTTATTAATCCCAGAGGGAAATTAAATGTTGTAACTCATCATCCTGGTTTCATTAAAGAGTTGTTAGATGCTGATGGCTGTGGGCAGGAAGGATCTCTTGTAGCGGTCTGTCTTACAGCAGATCTGAAGAAGCCTCTGACTGAAAACACTCTGTTGTTGTATGACAGTCTGATGAAGAGGGTGCTGAGGGTTGTCTATAATGTTCTTCATTTTATGAAGAATCCTTTTTTGTACAATCTTGGCCCCAGAACTGAGCCAGGCTTCTTTATGAGCTTGTTGATCTTTTTTAAGTCACTTGTTCTGGTGCTGCTACCCCAGCAGATGGTGGCAGAAGAGATAGTGCTCTCTACAACAGACTTATAGAAGATATGCAGCATCTTGCTGCAAACAACGAAGGATTTAAGCTTCTTCAACAAGTACAAGAAGTTGAGTCAACCCCAAGGTATTTATACTTCTCCGCCACCTCCACTTCATCTCCCATGATGGAAATAGTGTTGGACCTGTTCCTGTTTCTCCTGAAATCTACAATCATCTCCTTTGTTTTGTTCACATTCAAGATGAGATGATTGTTTCCACACCATGCCACAAAGTGGTCCACCAGTTCCCTGTACTCAGCTTCCTGTCCATTTCTGATACACCCAACCACTGCAGAGTCATCTGAATGTTTCTGCAGATGACTGGAGCCTGTTTTGTACTGGAAATCTGAGGTGTACAGAGTGAAAAGGAATGGTGAGAGTACAGTCCCCTGTGGTGCTCCTGAGCTACTGACCACCTGGTTAAACACACAACCCTTCAGTCTCACAAACTGTGGTCTGTTTGTCAGGTAGTCTTTGATCCAGGTGTTTGTTGAGGCCTCCACCTGAGTCTTCTTGAGTTTCTAACAAAGCAAATCAGGCTGAACTGTGTTCAATGCACTGGAAAAATTGAAGAACATGACTCTCACAGTGCTGTTCTCACACATGTTGTGGCCATTTTAAAAATTTGATTTGACTGTATATGTTGGGTTTGCTCTCTGCTACTCCCATACAAAATTTCAACTTAATATGGAAATAAAAAAATCAATGAGTTAAAGTCATTTTTTAAGCTATGGTGGCCATCTTGGATTTTTTTATTTGGATTCAGTATGTGATGGGGAACATTCTCATCTATAACCACACCAAAGTTCATCACTGTATGTGTAAAAATAATTGTTCATGCCATTGAAATGTATCTTTGGTGGCCATCTTGGATTTTTCTTACAATTCAGAATTTATTGGGCATTGCTCTCAGCTACCATCACCAAATTTTAGCTTAATATCTCTAAAATTGGCTGATTTATCCATAACTCCTACAGAAACACCATGAAAGGATGAAAGAAATTATTACTTTTTCATATATAATATGTATGTGTATCTTAAAAGATGTGGTGGTAGGAAGAGTTCGTTAGAACTCAGCAATACTGAGTTTTGTTCACAGACCTCGTCACTGTAGGTCATGTGACCTCACGGTGGCCATTAGAAGATGTGAAGAGTTCTGTTAGTTTGACGAAGCCTTCTGGATGGAAGGTGAAACGTTTCAGCACACACAAAAAAAGAAACTGTCCAGATGACCTGACTGAAAATTGTTGGATTGTATATCTGGATTATAGAGCATGGACTTTGTTAGTTCTGTTAGTGTTTTTCAATGAGAAACAGTGCATCTTTGTTTGAAAATTATGTCGCCTTCGTAACTCGAAATGCCAATAAAAGTAATAGCAATAGTAGTAATAGTAATAGCACACATCACAGTGGTTGTTTTGATATATAATTTGTGGGGGGACACACTGTGGTTCAGGCCGCATTAAAGTTGAAGGAAGAGCATGACCCTTTTCAGGTGGATAACAATAGGTGACTGCCTTTCTAAGCAGTCCCCTGCAAGTGTCTGCAGACGAATAGGCGTTCCCGAAGGAAGGCGTACCTCAAGAGTCGCTTGCAAGAAATGACATTTTTTTAAACCAGCATTGCCAGATTGGGCGGTTTGCCGCCCATTTGGTGGTTTTCATTCTGATTTTGCAGGTAAAAATTGCTTTAGGTGGTTGGGGATAATTTGGGCAGATTTGAAGTCAGATCGGCGATTTTTGAGTTAACCTATTAAACACACTTCAAACAATCATTCATCATTTTTTCATAGCAAAGCTCCCCTGACCTTTCTCCATCACTTTCTCCATCACTGATTGGCTATTTGCCAGGACGTTCACAGAGAACTGGTGAGGCGGCGCCATAAATTATGTTAGTAGACACCTCATTGAGTGGGCTGACCCAGAGCCCTGTACACGGCTCTGACACGGCTCTGGGCTGACCCATTGCAGCGGTAAGTCGAAGCCGCCGCCATATTGAATGTGGCAGATCTGCCAGTCAGCTAATACAAGGAAATGGACTGAACTTCATAACTGTTCTACAAAGTCTAAAAAAGTTAAATCTGGTCCTCTGGACACTCAAAAAAACAAACAAACAAACAAACAAAAAATGTAGAAACGTTTCGTCTTTCATCCGAAAGACTTATTAAGTCTGAGGTGCTGTATTCAGCTCAGTCTTATAAATAGCACCTTCTCGTAGTGGATCAACCAGTTTGCTGCTGACAACCAAAACCAGCTGCTCACATGATCAAGGAGGACCATCAGCCTAATGATGGATCGTTAGCACCCTGTTCTACATAGTGTTTTATGTTAGTGCCTGACTGTCATTCACACACACATTTGGAAAACAAACAGGCACCAAAGACAACATTTATAACTTTTAACATGATTATTAAAAATGTTTACTCCTTAAATATTTAGGTTATAGGTAAGCACTAAACCAACATATGTAATTTTGAGTGTTTACAATGTGTGTAACTATTACTGTGGTCAAAAATATAGAAATATTCATATTTAACATTTAATCTGTGTCTATAATAACCACCAGTAACAAAAAAGTAGTACATTTGAAGTTTATTTTTGCAAGTATACTTTAAGTTAAGTATAAGTATATCAAGTATACTAGACACCATACTTGTAGTGTACTAGAAGTATACTGATTTAATACTTGTTTGGACTAAATTGGGACATTTTTATACTATTTTTGAATATATCAAATAAAGTTTATAAAAAGTAAACTTCATGTACACGTCCTCATTTTTAGTGTAAAATAAGTATACTTGTAGTACACTTAAATAAACTACTTTTTGCTAAGGGCATCCTGAAATGTGACGTGTGGATTTTCTGAATATTTTTGTGCGATATAACAGATTTTTGGGCTGGAAAACCTCGACTCTATCTGGCAACACTGTCTAAGCGTTGAAATACTTAAGTTTTTGTTTTGCTAGTTATAATTTTCCTGTTCATTATAACCAGACAAAGACGTTTAACTTTACGAACATGTGCATCATGTTACTGCACATTACCCGACCGAAACCCCTTTTTTTTCTCGTCATCGAGAAGAAACGTGGCTTCCGCATCCGTTACCGGAAGTTCGCGGGTTAGCATCCGTAGCGGATTTTTGACCTTAAAATGCGATTTGTACTTTTTGCGTGTTTTCTCTAGATAAGTTATGCGGTGTGTAACATTTGTTCAACAAGTCCACATATATCGTATTAGCCAGTGGTTTAACGTTCAATTGCGTATTTCGTGTTGCTTCGACTGGAAAGTACAACCAACCAACCACCGAACTGAACAGACGAAGAGAAGAAGAAAAATGTCGCTTCTGTGCGCGGTTGAGCGAATCATTAAGGCCTGTAAAGTTGAACAGGCACAACTTAATGAGAACATTCAACACTTCAGAGAAATTTTACAGAGCTTGTAAGTACTTTACAATTAAGTGTACGTTTTGTTTACATCTAAATGAATACCTGTGCAACCCTGCCACGTGTGGCGCTGTGGCTTAGTTGGTTAAAGCGCCTGTCTAGTAAACAGGAGATCCTGGGTTCGAATCCCAGCAGTGCCTTTGGTGTGTAATGTATTTATGACGCAATTTCTTGATTATTTTTGAAAATTCCATCCATTATATTAATTTATATATATAAAAGATGGAATGAAGCTGTCTGCAAAGCCTGTGATGCATGAGCCAGTTGGAGTGCACCATCTATTTATTTCTTTAATGACTAGTCATTTGTTTTTTCATCCCTCAGAACGTCACAACTCAAGGCAGAGTCTGAAGAGTCAGAAAGAGCAGAAGCTGCTGCAGGTAATTTTAGAGACAGATGTTCTGTTTATCTGAAAATTGCTAATTAAAAGCAGAAATACTCATCATAGTCTATTTTTATAGCACTTATTCAATGTTAGGGAAAAATGCGAACATATTCTAAAGAAATTAAAATCAGTCTTGTAGATGAAATTGCAACTGTCACGTGTTGAACTTTCTCTGAAAAACTGAACAAAATGTGTTTTGTTTTATTGTAGATTGGCTGTCTTGCCTCATTGTAAAAAATAAATAAAATATTCCATGTATTTTAACTAAAAAGATGAACCGTACTAGCAAATGTTCATGCTTCTATTTTCAGATGCAGACGCTTCACCTGGAGAGAAGGAAGATATAGATCTGCTTGAGCGAGCGCTGGAAAAAGCCCTTCGGGTCCGCACTGGCTCCGAACCCTCTAAAGACAACTTCTGCAGAAGCAACATATCTGGTGCTCAAAGTGAAACGAGCCCAACCACAGATGTATTGATTTCATCTGCAGTGGCTAATAGAGGTCACACAACCGTTAGATCAATCTCGAAATCTGATAGCCTTGGCAAAAAAGAATACAAAAAGTCCGATTTATCAGTTTGCTCCACATTGAGCTCAAGACCTTCAACGAGCTACAAACCCACAATGTCTAAAAACGTAAAAAATCGAAACGCAATCCAAAACTGTTTCCCTTCATCCACTCGGGCTGTGCACCACCGGGCATCAAGGAAATTTCAGCAGACTGTTTCAGCATCTGCCTCTCCTGATCCGATCACGCTCGTGAACAAGAAGACAGCCAGAAGCAATGTGGCAAGAAGTGATGACATGAGGAGAGCTGCAGCTGTCTCTGTGCCGCCTTCAAATAACACAGATGGGCTTGGTTCGAGCAGTTTGCTTCAGCAAAATGTGTATGTTTTACACGATCAGCCCATAAAAATAATAATGATGCTTTATTTGTATATGATAAAATTTAAAAAAGTCTTAAATTTGCTTTGTGGCAGGCTAAAGTCTGAAGAAACAACTAAATGGAAATATTTAAGGAGCAAGCAAAATGGGTACTAAATCAGTTTAGATTATATATTAAAGGTATTTATACAATGAGTTTCTACTTGGGTACTATTTTTCATCTGCAGGCTGTGGGACAAAGTCATATCCCTGCAGAGGAAACCTGTTCCTGGGAGGAGTCACTTTATGGAGAGAATGAGAGCCACGGTATGTTTCTGTTTCTAGTAAAGCCCTTCTGTATTTTCCATCTTGCGAATGGAATAAAACTGTATGATATGCATTTCACAAAGTCTTTCTGGTTAATATTGGCACTCAGTCATTGGTGCTTGTTTTTGTTCTTCTGAACCTCCTTAGTTTCCCAGTGACTGGCCACGTGGTAGTCCAGATCAGACCAGGGCTCTGCTGGACAGACTGACAGAACAAGGGCTCACCCTTGCCCAGCGCTGCCAGGCTGAAGAGGTTCTAGCCAAGCAGGCATCAGCAGTGGAGACAGAGCTGGGTAAAAAGTTTTTACACACGCAAATATTCAAAATCAAGAGCAGAGGAATCTGTAAAAGTGAAATGGAGTGATGACACAAGTATGTGGGTGAGAAAATGTGGCATTTGTTGGAAACGACGCCAAGAGTTGGCAGGAAGTGACTTTGTAGGGTTATTTAGATGGATACACACATCAGTGTTTAGCCTTTACTCTGCAAAACAAAACAAAAAAAACGAAATCTTGGCAGTTCAGCTTTTTATGTAATTATTACAGGAATTAAATTAAAAATAAGTAAATTTACTCCCAGCTTTGTTACTCTAATCAGCTGTTACTCTACACAGTTC